ACAAGCGAGGCTGCGTAAATATGCTCTATCCTGTCGTTTCTGTGCCATACAAAATCCTCTCCAATACTTCTTTTTACAGGTCAAAGCGGTTAACCGCTKTYTTTTGCGACAGCAGATTCTTTGATTCTTATTCACTTCGGCTAACCATGTAATTCCAAAGTTGCTTAAGTTTTTAATTCTTTTGCCAGGTAATACAAGGATAGCCTATAACCTGAGAAAATGCAAATCGTTGGTGATATTTTTTTGGAGGGGAAAGGGGTTCTTGTGCTTCTGGTTAGGCATTAACGTATAAGAATCGGTTGCCAATAAAAAGTGGTTATTCGATTTGAATTGTAAGGAGTGTATTTTTAAGCGTAAATTTGGAAGTTATATTGATTGTACGGATTTGACTGTAACTATTACTTTTTATTTTCTTCTTGTGTAGGTACAAAGGTTTTGGACAAATTGCTGGGCATGGCTTTCAGTCCCCTCGAAGAAGTCCTGTTATAATGTATACAATCAGTAACACTGAGTTCGGATTACTTTGGGTGGATCTGCACTGCTTTGCTATGTTCTCTCCAACCAAAGAAGACTTTCTTCAATGACAATGTGTACTTCTCCTCACATCATCAAGTAGTCTGAACTAGCACTTATTTACTACACTCAGTTGTGATGTTGATACAACAATATCATTTAATTAGATATTTATGATTCGCCGTTGTGCCTTTTAAATATTCGAATATTTTTACTAAATTTTGTGGGCATTAGCTAGTAGTAGTTGGAAACATGGTAGAAGTAACTGGAAATAAGGTAGAAATAGTTGGAAAAAATGTAGAAGTAACTGGAAAAAGGTAGAAGTAACTGGAAATAAGGTAGAATACAAGGTACGAGTACTTCCTCTGGTTTCMAGTTACTTAACGTGGTACAAATTACAATCAGGGATTGTCTGGATACCTCATGAATAATTAATGATTATTAGCTATTCTCATTGATAATTAGGTTTAACATAACTAGACTTGCCCTAAGCTAAATGTGGGTTCAATTATCTCTACCTATGATCATTCTTTTAATAAATAAATTGTTGTTGTTGTAGACTGGAGTAAGCTTAGAATCCTCTAGCCGTTTCCAGTGTCATCTCGTTATTTTGTGATGATAGTGTTAAGTTCTTAGTATTCGGCTGCTGGAAGTCTAGGATTTAGATCCTGAACAATATGAATGGATAATACATTTTGGTTAAAAAAAAWTTTACACGACGTTTCGACGTTATCAAACGTCATTATCAAGTGAGATAAAATGCAAAAGTAAGGATATATATACAAGAACTATTTTTATAATTTGTTTTTGTTTTTACCATTTGTTTTCCTTTCCTTTATATTCATTTATATTATCATTGTTTTACCTTATTCTTATTGTAATTTTTTACTCATTATTATTCTTGTATATACATCCTTACTTTTGCATTTTATCTAACTTGATAATGACGTTTGATAACGYCGAAACGTCGTGTAAAAATTTTTTAAACTAAAATATTTTTTTACTGCTTATATTGAAGCTTTTCAAGAATTCGCTGTGGGAGCACCTTCCCTCAAGTTCATCAGCGCTTTATCACRACCAAACACTAGCAAAGGTCTCAGTTTAAATGTTTCGTCACATACCCTTGCTAGGTTTTAAATCAGTTTGTAGACATAAACTTTAGCATAGACTAGCCGTTCTTGCGTATGGAATCAAAATCCTTTCAAGATAGAGAAAAGGTAAGCAGCTCTTGATTTGCCTTTCCTTCAAGTCTCTATGACGCCTTTGCTGATTACTTYTTCKTGATTCTTGCACGTCCTYCTGTAGTGCCATGGCCCTCAATACGGTTGTTCATTTAAGAACATTTGAGAACATTTATAACTCCCGAGCCACTCTTTTGATCCGTCTATGCACAAAAGGAACAATTAGTTTTCTCACAGAAAACCGGGACAATTTTTGATACAGGACGATTCTTAAAGATGTCCCTGCGGACCTGCTCGAACGTTCTATAGGAGGAAGTGTGTTGAGACCGGTCATCCTAGAGAACGTGGTGGTCTTACCATTTTCAGGTGGAGACACAAACTAGGCAGCAGCATTTCTCAATTATTTCATGAACTAGAAGAGGGGACCTGCTCGAACTTTCTATAGGAGATTGTGTGTTGAGACCAGTCATCCTAGAGAACGTGGTGGTATAGCCCTCTCCGTTTGAAGTATATCAGAAATTAGTAGAGTGCATGTCACATAAGCATGAAACAATTCTTAACTATGTAGTGCTAAATAAGATTTAGTTATCAACTAACTAAGAATTGAGAACAATGCTACAAAGGAATTTAAATAATTGGCATTGTGTTTATGCTTTGTTGAATTCTTAGTTAGTTGAAAACTAAATCTTATTTAGCAATACATATTAAGAATTGTTTCATGCTTATGTGACGTGCACTCTAGTACTTTGTGTGTTAGTGAAGTATTTGTTTCGAAAATACAGAGACTTTACACAAATACACACTTGATGTCAGTGATCCACCTAGAAGAAAGTCAAAACATCGGTCTTTGATAGGTAATATTATTCGACGTATTTCATCATTTTATATCCTTTCGGGCAGTAACTGAATGCTTTAAATCGATGTTGGTATTTCTTGCATATAGCCGCAGATATCCTGATTATTAGACGTTTAATTATATAGCCACATATTAATCCCAAATAGGTAAAAGCTGGATTTTTCGTTAATTTTGGAATCCTGTCCAATTAAGAAATTAATTGGACAGGTTTTCAATTGGGTTTTTGTTAAAAGCTGTGGTTGGCTTTTACCTATTTGGGATCAATATGTGGCTATATACACCTTTTGCTGTTCATTAACCGTAAAGAGACATTCATTCAAGCGAAGTTGCATTTTCGTTAGCGTGAACGTGCATTCATTAACACGAAGGGACTATCAAAAGCGTGAAGGTGCAGTCAATAAGAAACTTAGCATTATAATGGACATTCATACATAACTGCGCGCAGATTTATTAACGCGTTCGTAGGTTCATTAACGTATTATGTGCATTCAATAAAGCAAAACTGATTTTCAATACTGCAATTTGGACATTTGATTTCGAAATAGATTTTGTGAAGAAATATGAGCACGGAGTCGTTAGCAGAAAAAAATGATCTTTTTCTCATATAAAAGGACTCACTTTGACCTTGAAAAACAGTCGGTTAGACTGAAACTGATGGCTCGACAGAGAAATAGAATTGCGACAGAAGTGAAAGAGCGTCTTGTAAGGGCATACGAGGACCCTACAGAAGACTATCTTACCGTTGCTGGGACACTTGGTGTGAACCATTCTACAGCAAGAAGTATAGTAGCACGCTATATTCGAGAAGGAAGAGTTGCTGATCTCCCTCGAGGTGGAAGGAATAATGTCAAAGTGGACGATGATATGAGACAATGCTTGTTGGATATCGTAGATGAAGAGTGCACACTAACTTTAACAGCGATAAACCAAGAGCTTCGTAGAAGGCTTCCTCGAAAACCTCATATTCACGACAGAACTGTGGGCAGGGCTCTAGATGGAATGCTCATAACACTTAAACTAAATCGAAGATTGCCAGCCGATAGAAATCGACCGGACGTGATTGAAAGTCGCTTTAGGTACGCAACCTGGTTTCTGAACACAGGTGTGATAAGTCACTGCGTTTTTATCGACGAATGCGGATACAATATCTGGACCGCTCGAAGTTACGGAAGAGCAAATCAAGGTGAACGCGCCTACAGACAAGTTTGTGGCCAGAGAGGGAGGAACGTGACGTGCATTCTGGCGATATCAGCACGAACTGGCTTGGTAAATCACTCAGCACAAGTTGGAGGTATGAACGCACAAAGATTTGCTGAATTTTTAAATGATACCCGTCAACGCCTCCCACCCAATGACAACGTTAACTTTATTTACGATAACGCGCCCGCTCACCGAAATGCCATTAATCCAGGGCCGAATACTCAACTCCAGCCATTGCCTCCGTACAGCCCTTTCCTCAACATTGTTGAAGAGGCCATTAKCTGTTTTAAAGCAGCTATCAAAGCTCATTTATCTCGCCCGGCTCAACAGCGGATGATGAACAACAGAGACGAAGCGAGAAGACAAGGCCTTCCACTTGGCGAGTATAGGAAGCAGCTACTCCTACGTGCAGCAACAAGAAATGTGGGCGCTATAACTCCTCAAAAGTCAGTGCAGTGGTACAACCACATGCAGACATATCTGCCAAGATGTCTTAACAGGGAGCACATTCAAGGATAATTTTTTGACTGATATGTTAAAGCTAAATATCATATATATTTGAAATTTCATTGCGAAAGTAAAAGTCCATATTATGATATTAAAAGTTCGTTTATCTTTATTGAATGCACATATGATGTTAATGACAGTTCGAAAACGTCAATGAATCTGCGCTCTGATATGCATGAATGTACATTCCAATGTTAAATTTCTTATTGATTGCCCCTTCGCGCTCTTGAAAGTCCCATGATGTTAGTGAATGCACGTTCGCGCTAAAGAAAATGCAGTTTCGCTAGAATGAATGTCGCTTTGCGGTTAATGAACAGCAAAAGGTGTAATTAATAGGTAATAAGACTCCATGCTGTCCAATTAAGAAATAATTAGACTCGAAAAATTCCTCTGACTGCCAAATTGGACTCGGCCACGGCCTCGTCCAATTTTTGGGAGTCCTCGGAATTTTCCTCGTCCAACTATTTCTTAATTGGACAGCATGGAGTCCTATTACATATAAATAATAGCACAATTTCCCGAGCTGTTCTCTGACAAGCGTATTTGTGTAAAGTATTTTCGAAACGAATCCTTCACTAACACACAAAGTACTACAAAATTTCTGAAATACTTAGCCCTCTCCGTTTGAACAATTATCACTCTTCAACGCAAAGAATTTGAAAACGCTTTGACCATTCTTGGCTAGTTTTGTCGATATTCGAGGAAACCAGTTCATGTTGGGGGAGGAGCTATCCAATGATTGACATCTATAAAATGCATGAATCCAGTAGGATTTTTCGTTCGACTCCCTACGTGTTATCCGTAACGGTAGTAAGTATCTACTAAAAAAAAAAGCCTCGTATTTAAAATGGATTCAAAGTAAGAGATCAGAAAACTGAACAGATTTGAAGAAATAGAGACATGTASAAGCTATCATAAACCTCGAAGAAAATGAGAACACAAAGAAAAAACGGCCAAGTAAGACATGGCGATTTTCGTCGCCTTCCTGAACAATTCACAAAACGAGAGCCGTGATGTATACGAAATACAACCAAATACACCTACTTGCGGAAACGTTGTCATAGAAAATAGAACATTTGAATTTAGTAAAAAGGAATAAATTAAAACAAGACAAAAGAAAGCGTTCAGCCTCAGTGATCTTCTTTTGTCTTTTTAATTTATTCCTTTTTACTAAATACAAATGTCCTATTTTCTATGACAACGTTTTCKCAAGTATGCTTGATTCATACATCAGCAAATTCTTATTATYTGTCAGAAAGCGTGAGAGAGCATAGAGACAACTAGGAGCAAACAATGGTTTCTTCCTTCGATGAATATCAAAAAGAATTTACTACGTYGAGTCAGTTTATATCACTGGACATTCGCTTTACAAAAAGGAGTTACCTGGCCAAACTTGAAGGATGTACTTCATCCTAGGCAGCGAGAAAATTTATTTTCAGTTCTCAATACATTTCTTTGTATTTTTCACGCCCGTCACGTGCTGATGAGCCCGGRAATTACAAAGAAACGTATGGGGAACTAAAATGAGTTTACTCGCTCTCTGGATAAAGTACGCCCTTCAAATTTGGCCAATTAACTCCTTTTTACAGTATCTAACGTTTGCAATTGATAACTCTTTCYGAATTTRAATTCAGCWGGAATWATTTGRCATCGATTTCCCGGTCATTCCTTGTTATTTTGAGACACTATACCTACCGGACAAGATGGCGGCCAAAACCGTCACCTTATCTATTGTAAACAAGGCAAACTAACCATAATAAAGATGATTTTTGTTAAAAAAAAMCATATCTTTGAAATGGCATTTATGGTTTTTCTTTTATACAAAATATGGTGACCTCCTTTTATGTTGACATTGATTGTTTTTTAAAAAGAAATTAAMTTAAATTAAATTAAAGCGACGAAAACACTTACCCTTGTCCATTTAAAAAATGCACAAAAACATTTTCTCCAAAAGAATTATTTAAAATATTGTGTTCACCACTCGAAAATAAAATTCATATATCTTCGCGCCACCGTGTAATATCCTCTATATAACAAATATTCGAGTCGTTCGTTGAGGCTCGATATGCAATATATTTATACTACTTAGCGTTATAGATCGAGGTCATCGAGAAAAAATAGTGTAACTTAACTATTTTTTATTTTTTTAGTATGCATTCATGATTTTAATTCTTGGATTTGATATACATATCTTGGCGGTAAACGTTCTTTCAAGTTAGCTATGCGACTCGACCTAAAAAGGTCAAATTCAAGTCAAATTGCGAGTCATATATATMGGCAATTATTATTATATAGCTCGGATGTAACACACGATTTCATTGGCTAAACAACGGGCCATACTTTCCCGTACGGACCAGATGAAACGAGAAAGAACGTTTTTTTATCTTAAAAAGGCTCGCATTCTCCCTTTTTGTAGTTGTACTGTATAAAAAAAGTCAAAAATGAATCCAAATTTTGACATCAAGGTTTTTCAGTCTTTTCTTTTTTCATTCTATAATTTTGAATGACAAGAAAAGTACGAACAAAAACATATTTTTAAGTCCGATTCTCTATTAATTTTACTATTTTTCCTGAAAATGCTATATAATAATRTCTTATTAAGAGGGTGTCAATGGGGTTAATAGTTAACTGAMTTTTGGCTTAAAAATTAGTAGTTAACTGACTTTTTGCCCAAAAAATAGTAGTTGACTGACTATATGAAAATCGTATAGTTAACTGACTTTCTTACTAACATTTAATTCAGACGCGTAGAGTCCTTTACGCATATACGCAGGTGCGTACTAGTGGGAAGGAAATATTAAAATTTTCGGGATTTGATGCATTTTATATGCTCTCGATCCCCCTCAAAACGCTGAAAATCGCATTTCCAATAGTTATCATTTCAAAATTTCCCGGGGGAGGACCGCGATCCCCCTCAATGCTCCCGCCTTCGGAGGTGGTTAGCCCCCCAATCCAAAAGATTTGTCGCTGTACTGGCCATATGCGTATTAGCCAAAAAGTCCACGCTGCGCGTCTTTTAAAAATCTACTGTCCAACAGTTTTTGGGGTCTGCTGTTCACTGATAGAGTAGTCAAGCTCCGATGCACATGTCACGTTTCATGAGCACCCAGGCTATCCTCACGAGCATTGAGCTTGTTGTTGACCAGACAATGGCTGGCTTTGTCAAGGTCATCRTTGGTTTCTATCATAGTTAATAGAGAGGAATGGTTTGTAAACCTTCTGTTGTACTTCTTTTGTGCATCTTTTGTACGTATTTTGAGGTTTAATCAGTCATGACCGTGCACAACGTTGTTTTACGGACGATAGAAATTTCAAAATGACTAAACATAAACACCCTCTATGAGATTATGATATTGTGAAATTTTGTTCGACAATTTTGAAATATCACGCGTGGTATTTATCCCACATACCACTACAAAACATGCTATTACCTATACAAATATGGATACAGAACTGCTGCAAGTAACTTATTACAACCCATATACATAATATGATTGTACAAATCAGTTTATTTGTGATGTTAGTATCATAAATGCAATTTATAACGCATATGACATTCGATACAAGAGACCAAAAGTTATGCCTATCTAACATTAGTAGTTAACTGACTTTTCAAAAATTTAGAAGTTAATTGACTTTTGACCCAAAAATTAGTAGTTAACTGACTTTTGGGTACCCCCATTGACACCCTCTATTAACCTCGCTTGCTCGAGCCATACGGGATGTTATGGAACCTCGTTTTTTTCACTTTTTATGGCCCTCGCGCTACGCGCTTTGGCAAGTCAGTGGAAAAAAACTCGGTTCATAACTTCCCGTACTGCCCTCGCGCTCGGTTAATATTACTATCCTTTCGGCGAAAAAAATATATTGAATGTTAAAACATACACACACAGATTAAATTTATTTCTTATTTCTTCTAATTTCAATAGACAATTTTGGCTGTTTGTAAACATTCACTAGAAGCACATTCACCCGAAGCACATTCACCCGAAGCACATTCACCCGAAGCAAGCAGGTTCTATGTACGTGCTGTCTTGCTGAGGTAATAAGTGAAATGGCTTCGTGTTCTTATGTCGCAGTCTTCTTGCTTGATGTTGTGTTCAGCATTTTGTGAATCGTATTAAGGTTTTGCGAATTCTTTGCGATGGTGGTTACTGTATGTATAGTCTATCTGGTGTGGTGGGCTTCAAGGGAATCGTTGTCACTGTTTGATACGTCTGGAATGCTGTAAAGGCTGATTTACACGGTGCGATTTGTCGCGCGCGACTTGTAGTATACGACTTGAATCGCGCAGTGTAAATGGCCCCTACGACTTGTCTACAACAGTCGTACGCAACCTACGACTTGTAGTAGGATTTTGAACCACTGCTTAAAATCCTACGACTTGTAGTAGGAAAATGGTATACTACAAGTCGCGCGCGACAAATCAGCCTTAAGATGTTGAGTCAAGGTATTGCAGCTTTGGCAGACGCAGTGGCGGATCCAGGATATTTCAAAGGGGGGCTCCACTTTGTTTTCGCATTTTCCTAAAACGAACTTTTTTYTACTTTGCCTCTCSAACTGTAGCAAATGTAAAGACACACACATTTCATTTATCTTTTTTTATGCTCGAGGGGGGTTCCTAGGAACCCATGGAACCCCCTCTGGATCCGCCACTGAGACGTGGTGGCAATGAAATGGCACCAACAGATATTCTCCTGAGGGAAATGGACCAATAATCAATCACGACTTCCTTCCATGGACGACTTGACAGTTGCGCCAGCTTGAGTGGTTCTTGAAGATTGATTTCATTGAGTTGAAGCTGCTTGGAATGGGAAAATATGCAGTTGCCGACTTTCTTGCATCATGTTGTCTATGCCAGGGAGAAAACCTTTTTCGTCTTCATTATGCCTAAAGGCCTGGATGAGTAATTCTACAGCTTTGTTTTCAAGCGATCTTATGATGACTATGCAGTTTCTTCTTAAAACCATGTAAAAGGCCCATTGTTCCCTGTGGCAACTTGAAATGTAGCC